CCAGTCTAATTGGCTGACAGGTGGGGCTGTGGGCGTTTAGTCTGTCTTTGGGCTCCTTTCGTACGGACTGCGAGGCCGGTGTTTGCCTTTTCTTCTTTCTCTCTTGTTTTCCTGTGGTGGCTGTATAACAAAATTTGCCAGTTCAGCTTTTTAAAAAATTAATTGGGATTGAATACATATATCATTTCGTAGTTCAATCACGTCCAGCAGAATTGTACAATTGCTACCACAGTCATTTTCCAAATATTCTTTTTCTACATAGTTCTTTGCATCATCTCCCCTTCAACCCCTTCCCCCGACCACCACTGTACCCCCTCCTTTCGTAACCTGTATTCTGCCTGCTATCTCTATGGGTTCATCAATCCTGAGTTTCATAGACTGAAAAAAACGGAAAACTACGCTGCACAGCTTCAAGAGGGTGATCCCAATGACATAATGCCATTGAGATACTCCCTAATATAAACAAACAAAAAACCAAACCAAGCAATACGACTTGTTTTTAAAACATATAACATTCTGTAATTAACCCATCGTTCTGCACAGCCATCAGCAGTATGCCTTAGATAGTCTTTAGTAGAATGTTTCCATTATGAAAGACTAGAGAAAACAATTCCAAATGATTGATGGATCTGTTTCAGGCCATGTGCATTTGGGGAAAGACTCAGAATGACGCCTGTCCCTGAGAAGAATGTCCAAGGGGGTAGTTTCCCCCAATCCGGGCCTGCACTGTGTGCTGGCTGAATCGTTGCAGTCCAGCATAGAAGGTTCCATGTACTGGCTTCCCAGAGGCAGAAATAAGAATGGTAATTGCGTGATGAACAGTTTATTAGCCTATGAATGCATTAATTACATTTGTAATAGGAAGCTAGCCACTTCAACAGGAACCCCAAATCGTGGCGGTGTGTGGCCTGACCTTTCTGCCAGGGCTGCTATAGCATCTTACAAGAGCATGTCGGAGCCAGCGAGCAACTGTGGGTTTGCTTCCAGCACACGTTTGCTCACGTCTCTTCTCGGGCAGTCTCCACCCTCGTCCTCATGTCTGCAGGGGCTTGCTCCTTCCTTGGAGGAGGAAGGGAGCCATGGGGGTGTCCATCTCCCCAGACTCGTAAAAAAACAAGTGTGCAGACCACCTCCCGTTTGGTTTGGTTTCGTGTAGAGTCACAGTGACGGTGTTTTCTGGGAACAAGCCAGGTGACCTACAGGGAGAAAGAGCGAGGGAGCACCAGGGGACAGAGCCCAGAGCACCTGGCAAAGGAAGGACACGTGACAGGAAGGAAGCCACTGGACGCCAGCTAGGAGAAGAGGGCCCATCAAACCCCGAGCCAAAACTGATGCTGCTAACATGGCAGGCTAACTGCAGGTGGACTGGTTATTTGGAATGTGCTGCAGTTTAAGGAAGGATGTTGCTTCCTTTTGAGTTGGGAAAGGCTGAGAGGAAGGGGGCGTTGGGGGAGCATCCAGTGTGTAGCATGTTTCCCAAGCAGCGGATTATGATTCGCAGCCGATGCACTTATTATGAGCATGAATTGCTGTTAGGGACCAGAAAGCCAGCCAGTCCCAAGCTGCAGGATTAAGAACGATGCATTGACCTTGATGAAGACGCAGCCTGGGAGCATTATTTAAATTCTCCCAGTGAAACATGTGTCTTGAATACCACCAGCATTAGAATTTAGGATTTCCTGTAATTTTTTGGGCTGAATTATGCCCTTTTTATCCTGAGAAACAATCATGCAGTGTACGGAGTTCAAGAGGCTGAGGTCATGCTCAGGTTACTTTCTCAGCAAACTTACCATCGTTCCAGCCAAAAAGCATTCAGTGAGAGACTTGTCCAAACAAGAGGATTCTCTGTAACCACCCTGCCTAGCAAGAGTTTTCATCTTAGTTCTGACCCAAGAGCCATGTTTTTAATTTGAACGTGTATGAGTTTTATGTTTTTGTGACCAAAGGGATGTCTGGGGGGAGTTTGAGGTCAGGTCCGACTCGTCCATTTTGTAGCCACTTGCCTTTGAGCCCCTCTTTCCTTATCTTTAATCCCTTCAAACCCCCCAACCCCCCCCACCCCCGCGCTAAAATAACACGCTCACTGTGCAAAAAGAAGAAAAGTAGAAATGACGCCCCGTCCCCCTGTCCGGGGAGCAGCCATTGGAAAGCACTGTTCATC